AAGTACAATGAACAAGCGCCTCGTTTATTGCCGTTATCAATACAAAGAAAAATACTTAGTCTTGTATAATTTACATCCAATCGAGCCTAGACTTGTGTTGTTGCCTCTTTAACTATTCCTCCCATCCCCACCTTGTTTTTTCTTACTAACTTATAATTTTGAGGAAATATATAAACATATTTGGTCGGAAAAAAAGCACAATAGAAATGTGTTATTTTTACTCCTGGAACATAATTTTTTTTGTTTTTTTCGACCAGTCGACACAAATTTGGCAACCAAAATTCCGTAAACTAACAAATGAGTCTGCTCTTAGGCGTTTGAAGAACATAAAGATATGACACCATTTTTATGGAAAACAACCTGTGGATTGTTTCAGCTGATGGAGAGGTCGTCACAAACAATAAAAGATGTTATCTATTACACCACATTCTCCTTTTTTTGTGGATGTTCACGAAATGAATTGAGTGAGTTTAGTTTTAGGCCGGTTCCAGCAATATTCAAGACACACCACGGCGGGGGAATAAGAGTAATGGACTTCACACATTAGGGAATTGAACCCGGGACTTCGATCGCGACGTCTGAGCAAGCGCTTTAAACAAGGCAACCTCACTTCCCCTCGTGAGTGAGTGAGTGAGTGCGTGGGTATGGTTTTAGGCCGTTTTTAGCAATACCACGCAATATCGCGGCAGATGACACCAGAAATGGGTTTTACACATTGTAACTATGTGGGGAATCGAACCCGGGTTTTCGGCGTGACCTCCCCTCGCGAAAAGGATGTGCATGTCCTCTCTTCCGGCGTGCGTGGTCAGACTGTCCTAATAACACCGTTAACTGTTGTGTACCCTCTATCCGACGCATCGCTATGCTCCCTCCTACAGTTTTTATAGGGCAGGGTTCATTGAACGGTAATCGTTGGTGCAGAAAGGTCAATGTGTCCGTGTCTCCTATTGTTGATGCGATTCGTGCAGTACCTATATATATATATAAAGGAGAGGATGTTGGATTTCTGCATTTTGATAATTTTATGATAAATGGGGCTAACTTGAATATGAAGAAATTCAGCCTTAGTATATATAACATGGGTTTTAGTTTACGCTTATTAATATAAAACCTCAATGCCAGAGAGACTAACCAGTCTCGAGAATCTGCCTAAACAGATTCCCTTTAGCGGTGCCTGTAATTCTTCACATAAAGTTCACGTTTAGAATTAATGACACGGCGTCTTTAAATGTTACGTAATACTTTGTAGCGTACGTTAGCACTATATGTTTTTTTTGTTTACAAAAAGAAAAATATGATCTGACAAACTGATTCTTTAAATAAATCCTAACAGCCCCCAGAAATTTTTCGTGAAACACAAACTATTTCAAGTGCCTAAATTTGTTAATAATCCAAACACATAAACCATTTTCACTATCTCGAGACGAATAAATGGACCATATTTCATCACGAAGGAACAAGTTCTGCGAACATGATATTTTATCAGCATATATTTCATCTATGTCCAATGTGATAAAACGTAATGCACAAAGGTCAAGTTATTTGTCTGGAATGAAAATAAACCTTTTGAGCATAAGAGCTTGTAGTGCCGTTAGATAAACCAACCCATCGTGTTGGGGAACGTGTTTTGCATCCCATCATCCTCCGCGTCACTACACTATTTATTCGTTTTGCTGCGGGGCACCGGAAGTTGTTAACGAGCGCCCTCTTTAGGTCAACTACAGAAAAAAATGTGTGAAGTGATATGGTCCGTTCCCTTCGCTGTATTCCCAAATTGTATCTGTCGTGATAAGCGCGAATATGTTTTTTCAGGGAGTATAAACTGTTTATTCCAATCATTGAGTGACAAGATGACAGAGATGCTACAATGTCGAGACGAGTTGTCTTCAGAGGTCGGAACCCATGAAAGCATGGACGATAATGTACTAATTACTCTTGGTATCATATTACATACAGCAGTGGCGAAGATTATAACCTACCAAAGCCAGCAATTACTGGCATGATTTGCACGTGCAGTGTTGACCCCTATGCAGCCACCATCATGCATAAATAACGATCCCCTTAATTTGCAAATAAATTCGGGCTTAAGGAACCTTCTGTGAAGAAGAGAAGCCAGTTTGTTCGTTATTGTTATCTTTGGAATTTAATTTGAATTGTAAAAGTAAATATGGGTTAAGAAGTGCCAGATAAAGGAAGTGGGTAGAGTCAGCATAGGGTTTCAATTTCCTTATCCATTCTATGGGGGATCCCAGTTACCATGTTTTAACTGAAATTGTCTAAAAAAACTTTAGTTATATCACACACGGAGAGTTTAATTAAGGCTCACGTGTGTTTTCATTACATTATGCCATCAACAAAATGAGTGTGTGTTATATGTACATATTTCATAAAATATAAAATAAAATTATATTTTTCAATTCTTAAATTCATTTTATTTTTATTGATTTTTATTTCTGGTCAAATGTGGAAATTCTTATGGTTTATTTTAAGAATTAAGGACATGGTTCTCCATTATTTGATCCGTCTGAACTGTATTGATGCCGTGATTTCATCATATGAATTCATTGTTTATGTTATTACAGCTCTCAACTGGAGTCATCAAGATAGTATTGAATATTCATAAACGATGCAAAAAAATACCTTATAATATATGCCAGTATAATATACTGAACCAAAAAAGTATTTGAATATTTTTGGGATAGTTTTTCTTTTTGCAGTGAAGACTGAGCACACAATTTCATGAAAATATCCTAAAAAATATTCATGGTCCCTAGATTTTTTGTTCAGTATAATATATGTGTATAGTTGTTTGGAAGTTTAATTGTATTTGTAGTTCTGCGTCCGTTATAAAGTTATCGGTAGTTGACATGTTAAACTTATATGTAAATGTTATGAGGTGGAAATAAAATGTTTTTTAAAATTGCGAAGACGTATTATCAATTGTATAACTTATAATTCAATTGTACATGTAGTTAAATGATATATTTACCTATCACAAAAATAGTACAAAATCGTTGTATTTCATAAATGAATCAATATTTTTAATGACAAGCACATACGTACGAAGACAACGCCGTACTCATGCAATGGTACATGACAGACATATTTTAAATATAAAACGTCAAGGCTGGGGAATAACCAGTCTCGATTATCCGACGCAACTTTCCTAGGGCGTGAAAACCAGTAGGATCCACCACACCTAGTATATAGCTCATCATAATGTATTGTGTCACCCCGTTAGACCGAAAACCTCACCCTCCGGACGATTACTTTACGCTGTCAGTGCACAAGGACATTTCGGTGTCCATGTTAACGGGGTTTCGCTTTGCAAAGAATTATGTATTTGATATTTGAACACGTACATGTGCATGTACAGGGCGAACTAATTCTTATAATTCATCTTCCATCAAGTGCAGGACATGATTGGAAACGGATAATATAGTTTTAATAAGGAATATGTTTGTGTTTCTTGCAAGTGTAAGTAATCATCAACCGTAACATTGAAGTTATTTACTTTTAAAGTGTAAACCCGGTGGATTAGAAGCTATAAATTAAATCAATTATTTCATTAGGTGATGAAGGTTAGGATGAAGGCCAACTGGATAACTTTGAGATATTGTTGAAATTAACATGTGACAAATAACCAAGTACATATTTCTATCTGTTGCATGTTTTCACCTATGACATGTTGAAACTCAGACCTGTGGCCAAAATGAGCGGAAATACAATTTTTTGTAAAACATAAAGACGAAAGCTATGAGCAAGTGTGTGCCTATATTAACGATTACATGCTTACTCTATGAAAACATTAAAATATTTCTTTAAAATACTTTATAATAGTTTTTCTATTTCAGTAATACATTTCCTCCTCTGCCGTGGAATCAACGAAGTTGGACTTGGTTAACTTTGATCTAGACTTGCCTGGGCTTTTAGTAAATAAAAAAAAATAAAAAAATTCCACCACGTGTATGTACTGTCAGTATCTTGTAACACAACCCGCATGGGTCAAAGAGTTCAACTATGGAAGAAATGCTGTAATCAACCCTTTGTGTCAATTCATAAATGAGATATCAAATACATCTCGAAATGCCAACTTTCAATCCCTTGTCTCAAATTATTCAGATTAGTGTGTGTTTCAAAATGAATTTTTCAAATGAACTGAATCATTCCGAAAGTGACAATCACTTAATACTCCAGTTTCATTTTCTTTTCAAAAAATATTTTTCTGAACTTGTTTCATTCTTTACCCGGATCCTTTGCTATTCCAACTTCTTTATTTCCCGCTAACAGCTTCTCCGTCTTGTCATTCAAACACACTCTTCAAAGTTTAAATTAAACTCAAGATCTGAAAGTTTATAAGTAATTTTTGCCTTTAAGAACATCTATGACAGTCAAATTATTTACACAAAAGAACTACGACGCCAGTTGAGACTTTCTTCCCGAGAGCCCGTGAATTTCAGGTCCTCGTGACAGTCATTGATACCAATTAGTTAAGAGCGCTTTGTCTTCTATAATTCTTACTCTATCGGTTCTTACAGAGCCCATTATCGCGGAAGGCGAAACAACCTTTCAAAATCAGCACGTAATTATTTAACCACAGCCCTGTCTCCCTGAGTTATCAATTTTCTTGATAGAATCCATTTTCGTGTCCGGAAACTCGAGAGGGAAGTCTTGATGCCTCCAGCCATAAGAAAGACAACAAGCCATTCTAAATTTCCGCTAATTCCACTCGCAGTTGGACTCCAATAGTTAGAAGCGGGCACTTGTCAGATTTTCACAACAGATTTCTAATTTCAAAGAGCGCTCGCCAATCGATCCGTTTTCGCTGTTAGAAACACTGAACGGATTTCCCTAGTTGTAACGCGAGAAGGAACTGATAGGGGGCGTGGCTTGTTGACAGATGGCGCTATACAGCAAATAGAGATTAACCAATCAGCGGCCGGTGGGGTCGTCCACGTGCGACTTTCTACGCTGCAAGTGTCATGTCGTTTTAATGACCCTCCTGACAATTAGCTGACTATATCTGATCTGCGAAATGGCCTAGTGCTTTATTTAATAGAGTAACTATTAAGATGCTCTTTTACACCTTTCACACCTCCCATGCTTGTAAGATGGAAGCGATATTGGATTTGCTCAACTGACGTTCTGGCTTGAGCTTACTGACCGCTGGCAATATGTCACAAGATAGAAGCGACGAAGCCTCTGTCCAGAAGGATTCCGACACAGAACTATCCTTCAGCATCAAGAAAATTCTCGGCGAGGCACCCCTGAAGAGAGAAAATCGCCCCAGGTCACCGAAATCATCCTTGTCCCAAGATCCCTTCAGCCCTTCATCTGACAATCCTTACTCGCCTATTATTAAACATGTGCCATTTTCGCCTGTGGGGTGCGTCCCGTACTTGACAAACTCTGAGTCTACGGGGGTGATACGTGTCCCTACCCACAGACCCCACCCTGTTGTGCCCCTGTGGCCAAATTACAGCATACCCTGGGTAGATATTCGGAGGGACAGATTTGGAGGTAAGTTGCACGTAAGTTGTGATTTTTATTTGTAAAAAGTACATGCAATGTATTTGTTTTTTTAGATTCATCAGTTGTTTTCAGGGTATTCTTGTACATTTATCCTCAGTGCTATTTCTGTTCTGTGACAGGTGCGAGATCTGTGTAAGTAAACCGACGATTGATATACGGTTTGGGGTTTAGTAGTAATTATATAATCTTGACTTTAGTGACGGGAATAATGGCAGCAGTGCCAGCAACTTGTGAGCCAGACTTGTTGATTCGTTTAATTGAGAGCACAAAGTCAGTTTAAAGTCCCCAAGCGACCGTAATGTCAAGAAAAGAAAAACATTTTTGAGCGGCACAACGTGCCTTTTTATGAGCATGTATTTCTTCCCGTGTTGTAGATATTACAAATCAGCACCAATCAATCTTTCTTGCGTTTAAAATCGCCGAGTAAAAAATATCAAAACATGACATCTTCCGTAAAAAGTTAGATACCAAAATGTATTTATTTCCAAAAGAATTTACAAATATGCTCTTCCTACAAATGAAAGTCTCAAGAACATTATCTGCATTATTCTACATTCGATCTTACCTTTTTCAAATCATATTTATAATTATAAACATCCTGTATACCTACCAACATACCTGTTGAATTAAAAATACTCAAAGTGGACAATGTCTTAATTGTAAATCAATATCAGTGTTGAACTATCTAGGACCTTTGTACAAAATCATCGTATATTGAAAAAACAAAATATATTTACATCCTTGCCCATAAATATCGATATGAGAAGCTGACGTTCAAACGTTTATTGCCCTATCTGCGTCATGTTCTGAAACATTCCGGCCTATTATGGTCATGAAGTTGATGGTAACTAAAGGCTTCTGTGCCTAATTTGATATAGCCGACCGTCGATGGTTATTGACATCTAATCCCAACTTGTGTTTCTGCGTTATGCATGTTACACTTCTTCCGTCACTACTAAATCCAATCAGGTTACAGTGGTGAATGTATAATTGTTCTACGACAGGCAGAGAAATCCAACCCTCCCTCTGGCTATTCAGGTTAACAGCCATAAAAACTCCCTATTTATCGTTGTTTTATTGATGTCTAAAATACTGTGAATTACATTGCTTCAACTAGACATTGATTAAGACACATCAGCAATTTTGAATAAAAACAACTGAACTATAATCGTTATCTATTTTCAAATGGTCATACACAAGTACACAAAGTGTCATCTAAACTTGGATCATTTTGACGGAAAACAACGTGTAAATTTGATATCAATTTCAAACAGGCAATAGCACTTGTTAACTTGTGCATCTATTTTACCATGACTATTCCAGTCTTATTTATTTTAAAGGTAAATTTATAATACTGATAACAACAGTTTACATTTCATGAAAATATATTTTGATCACTCTTGTGCTATTTGGGTTAGTTTTCAGTGCAGTCGCGAATCTGTGATTATCGCTTAAGACTTGTCAAATAGTAACTAAACACTGATGAGAAAATAATGGCGGATAATGGAAATTGATGCTCATATTATAGAACAATTTTCAAAACGACACGATGTCGTGAGGCATTTGCTTTCATATGCTCCCTCATCTGATGGTGTTAATCGCATTCGTGTTTCATGATCAATACTGTTGTCTTAGGCACTCATAATACCAATCAAAGCCCACCCATCTAACGCAGAGGTATTCAATTAAAACCTAAGTCACCCTTAAGTACTATATGAATGGCGCTGTAGCAGTTCTAAAAAGGAGAGTTTGATGAATGCCTTCGTAAATGGATTAGAAATGGAATATCAAATTTAAGCCACTGTGCTTGATTTGATTATCTCTTTAAATCTTAAATTACTAATACATCAATTTGGGACATTTCGTTTCAAAACCCAAGACATATAATGGCGTTTTGTTATGTATTTCTTCTTTGAGTATCAGTTCAATAAAGCAGATAATTTGTCAGTTGTGCTTACAACGAAAAATTTGATAAATGTCTTTGCAAATGGATTATGATAGAATATAAAGTCATTTTGATTCATTTAATTTTTTTTTAATCTGTAATAGATTATATTTACATCCATTTTTCAGACAACAGGCCAAATAATGATTATCGGTGGGTTTTGTTTCTATATATAAAACTTAATAAAATAAAGCACTGTAAATCGATAACAGTGGTAAAAGTCTTTTTGCATGTAATATTCCTAAGTGTGTCTTATCAAAATGTTATTACCCTTCGGACTGTAAGGGGTATGAGATCTGGAGTCATACACAGGATGTTCCAGGTATTTTAATTAATTAGGGCTATAACGTGATACAAACTGGTTATGTTTATTGTTCAAAACTGACAGCTTTTAATCGCCCTAAATCATCGACTCTAAACCTGAAACGTATCAAAACATGTTGATTTTTTAACAAAAATCAAGACATAAGCTTCACGTTAATTCTTGTTTTTCAATACACTCGAATAGCAGTAGATTCGTCTCACAATGCGTTCAGATTTCCGTTAGCTGTAATCCTGTTTGTAAGTCAAATCTATGCCTGTGTCTAGCATCAGTACCGTTACTTATTAACACATGATTATGATTATGATTATGATTATTATACAGTCGGAATCGTACAATGGAGATAGCCTATGGTTATGGCCAGGTGTTGTCGCTTTTATATACTCTCCATTAGCACCGATTTAAATATTAATTAGCATTGACATGTCGTGATACATGGATTTGTCATTTCTTTATTCACTGAAACATGGAAAGTTCTATGCCATCATTCCTGTGCTTGGGGTTGCCTGGACTTGCCTGGACATGGCGTTGTTCACATCATCCTTCTGTGACGTTTGGATTGGATTTACAAACATATTAATTTGAATGGAAACGTTATTATTTGTATGCGGACGTTCATGTTGGGTGTGCGTTGTTCACGTTCACGTACACGGAGAATCTATGACTTCTTAATTATAAAGCGTTGAACAGAGTATAGGTTAAACCACGGATAACAAATTTGTCAAACTCACCCCAACTGTTGCTCCACAATAAAGTGTGTGAGTCTTGCCATACATTTGGGGTACCAGAACCAGAACATGACGCTGTAAATGTATGGACACCAGAACATGACTGTTAATGTGTGGGCACCAGACAATGACGCTGTTAATGTATGGACACCAGAACAAATCGCTGTTAATGTATGGACACCAGAACATGACGCTCTTAATGTGTGGGCACCAGAACATGAAGCTGTTAATGTATAGGCACCGGCACCAGAATATAACGCTGTTAATGTTTGGGCACCAGCACCAGAATATGACGCTGTTAATGTCTTGACACCAGTACCAGAATATGACACTGTTAATGTGTGGACACCAGCACCAGGGCATCATGCTGTTCATGTATGGACACCAGAACATGACACTGTTAATGTATGGACACCAGCACCAGAATATGACGCTGTTAATGTCTGGGCACCAGCACCAGAACATGACACTGTTAATGTATGGTCACCAGCACCAGAAAATGACACTGTTAATGTGTGGACACCAGCACAACGGCATGATGCTGTTAATGTATGGACACCAGAACATGACACTGTTAATGTATGGGCACCAGTACCAGGGCATGACGCTGTTAATGTATGGGCACCAGAACCAGGGCATGATGCTGTTAATGTATGGACACCAGAACATGACACTGTTAATGTATGGACACCAGAACCAGGGCATGATGCTATTAATGTATGGACACCAGAACATGACACTGTTAATGGATGGACACCAGAACCAGGGCATGATGCTATTAATGTATGGACACCAGAGCATGACGCCGTTAATGTATGGTTACCAGCTTGAGAACATGATGCTGTTAATGTATGGACACCAGAACATGACACTGTTAATGTATGGGCACCAGAACATGACGCTGTTAATGTATGGGCACCAGTACCAGGGCATGACGCTGTTAATGTATGGGCACCAGAACCAGGGCATGATGCTGTTAATGTATGGACACCAGAACATGACACTGTTAATGTATGGACACCAGAACCAGGGCATGATGCTATAAATGTATCGACACCAGAACATGACACTGTTAATGGATGGACACCAGAACCAGGGCATGATGCTATTAATGTATGGACACCAGAGCATGACGCCGTTAATGTATGGTTACCAGCTTGAGAACATGACGATGTTAATGTATGGGTACCAGAACATGACACTGTTAATATATGGATACCAGAACATGACGCTGTTAATTTATGGACACCAGCACCAGAACATGATGCTGTTAATATATGGACACCAGAACATGACACTGTTAATGTATGGGCACCAGAACATGACGCTGTTAATGTATGGACACCAGATCATGACGCTCTTAATGTATGGGTACTAGCACCAGGACATGACGCTGATAAAGTATGGACACCAGAACATGACACTGTTAATGTATGGGTACTAGCACCAGAACATGAAGCTGTTAATGTATGGGCACCAGCACCAGAATATGACGCTGTTAATGTATGGGCACCAGCACCAGAATATGACGCTGTTAATGTATGGACACCAGTACCAGAACATGACGCTGGTAATGTATGGACACCAGAACATGACACTGTTAATGTATGGGCACCAACACCAGAACATGACGCTGTTAATGTATGGGCACCAGCAACAGCATAAAACGCTGTTAATGTATGGACACCAGTACCAGAATATGACGCTGTTAATGTATGGACACCAGAACATGACACTGTTAATGTATGGACACCAGCACCAGAACATGACACTGTTAATGTATTGACACCAGAACATGACGCCGTTAATGTATGGACACCAGAACATGACACTGTTAATGTATGGGTACTAGCACCAGGACATGACGCTGTTAGTGTATGGACACCAGAACATGACGCTGTTAATGTATGGGTACTAGCACCAGGTAATGACGCTATTAATGTATGGACACCAGAACATGACACTGTTGATGTATGGACACCAGAACATGACG